TCCGGAGCTTGCCCAGGAGGATATTGTGAGGGACAGTGTCAAAAGCCTTGGTGAAGTTGAGATAGATGACATCCACTGCTCTGCCCTCATCTATCCAGCTGGTCATTCCATCATAGAAGGCTGTCAGGTTTTGATTTGTAGATTTCCCCTTGGTGAATCCTTGCTGACTACTCTTGAGTGCCTTCTTGTCCTCCATGTGCCTGGAAATAATGGAGGATATACCTGTGTGATGAACTCAGGTCTGTTGCTCTCCTGACTGTGGTCACAGGTAGCATCATTGTGGATTTGAGATATTAAAAGAAGTTGCTTTTGGTAGGCTTTATTTGCTGCCTTAGTGAAACGGTAATATGTTATTTAAGAGCTGTCAGCAGTGTGTCCTTGTGGCCAAGAAGGCCAATGGGATCCTGGCCCGCATCAAGAGGAGTGTTGCCAGCAGGTCGAGGGAGGTGATCCTTCCCCTTTACTCAGCTCTGGTGACGCCACACCTGGAGTACTGTGTGCAGTTCTGGGCTCCCCAGCACAAGAGGGGACATGGAGCTTCTAGAGAGGGTCCAGCATAGACTGACAAAGATGATTAAGGGACTGGAGCATCTATCTTATGAGGATAGACTAAGCGAGCTGGGCCTGTTTAGTCTGGAGAAGAGAAGACCGGGAGGAGATCTGATGTATAAGTACCTGAAAGGAGAACATAGGGAGGGTGAGGCCAAACTCTTCTTGGTGATGGCCAGTGACAGGACAAGGAATAGTGGGTATAAATTAAAACACAGAAGTTCCATCTCCACGTGAGGAAGAACAACTTTCCTGTGAGGGTGACAGAGTCCTGGAACAGGCTGCCCAGAGAGGTTGTGGAGTCTCCTTCTCTGCAGATCTTCCAAACCCGCCTGCATGCGGCCCTGTGCTTTGGGTGTCCCTGCTGGAGCAGAGGGGTTGGACTAGATGATCGCTAGAGAACTCTTCCAACCTCAACCATTCTGTGATTCTGTGGGAAACCCACTGTCTTTACCAAGAATTTCACAGGAGTATTAGTTTGTAATAGCTTCTAGGCTTGCCTATGCTACACACATTTCCAGTCATTTGGAGTGCACTCCCCTAATATGATCAGTATTGTTAAGGCAAATGAAACTCCTCAGCTGACAGTCTCCCATACCCTCACACTCTTTTGTGAAATATTTGCTTATATGACTTCAGGTTATCATAAATGTATTCTGCTTCTGTTCTAGCTTCTTCAATCCTGAAGAGAGAGAAGCGGAAGAGAACAAAAAATGTGCATTTTAACTGTGTTACTGTGTACTACTTCACAAGGCGCCAAGGTTTCACCAGTGTTCCCAGCCAAGGGGGCAGCACATTGGGAATGTCCACTCGGCACAACAGCATGCGCCAGTACACGCTTGGAGAGTTTGCCATGGAGCAGGAGAGGCTTCACCGAGAAATGTTAAGAGAGCATCTAAGGGAGGAAAAGTTTAATTCCCTAAAATTAAAGGTAAAACTTCCTTGTTTTCAGTATTAAGGTCATATGGACCCAATTTGTACCTCTTGAACAAAATCCCTTCCTTGCAATCAGTTCTGCTTTCAAGAGAAATACAGATTTTGTTTCTTTTTTATTTTATTGAATAAATATTTAGCAAATATGACAAAAAGAAAGCTATGATAGTTATTAATGTACCAATTTATATGATCATATATCATGTTATTACCTGCATGTTTAATATTTCACAATAGGGTGATTGACTACCTGTATCAGTTCAGTTGGTCATAACCAGAGATAGCAGGTGATACAAATCCACACTGTAAGTTTGAAGCTGGCTTTTTAAATACAGCAGAATGGAAAAAATAAACTGTGTATTTGAGGAGAGCAGAATAGAGGAGATCATTTGTCTAAGTGTCTTTTGTGTCTTTTTCAAACTGGTGACAAAACTTCACCAGTTGAAGTTTTTGGGAGTGAAATATTTCCTGTATAATTGCTTGTCTCCCATATATTTCGTTTTGTTTTTTTTTCAGGTGAATCCTGTCATTTAAAAAAAAAAAAAAAAAAACTTTTGAATTGTAGCCAGACCGTTTTGCTACACAGCCCTTTTGTGATCCTGTATTTCTCTTTCAGACATCACTGTGGTTGCCCAAAGTAGACTGGCAAAATAAACCCAGTTTGAGAAATACCTTTTAGCATTTCGCCCATAGATCTGTATCCAAACTGAAGAAGTGCATATGGCTCTTATTATTGAAATTACTTCTTTCTGTCTCCTAATTGTTTTTTGTTTGGATAGTTAAATAGATTTTTAAATAGTTTATAAAAATTGAACTGGCATAATAAAATCAAACATAAAAATCACTCAGGACAAGTGGAAATTGAAGACGGATATTTGTACAGCTTGGGAGCGAAAGGCTTGAGGATTATTTACTTACCAACTGAACCGGGAGAGTGTTAGCTCTAAATGTCTTGCGCTACAGGATCTCCCGAGCACCATGCGTGGATTCAGTTGGGCCAGTGTAACCACTCACGGCACAGATCCCTGGGCAGACTCCCAGGGCTCAGCTCTTATATTCCCCAAAAATACAGATATAGGGGATGAAACTGAGAGGGAGGAATCTCCAGTGGAGTAAGTAAAGAATAGTAAGGCATGCAAATATTTCATGTTTCCGTTTTATTGAGAGAAAGGTGATCAAGAAAAATCACGAGTCCTATTTACCGCTGAAGACTGGATGAAGTCTCTTAGCTTTCATCTGTACTGAATATAGAGTTTGTCTCTGCCTGTGTCGTAACTCGCCTCCTGCCTGTGGTGGATCTTTCAACTATTTCACCCCAGCCCACTCTTTTTAAAGACAGAGGCTTTAGTTGCAGCTTCTCTTCCAAACATGCATTCTTCCACCTACTCTGTCGTATCTTTCGATGCACCATGAATACTTAAGCGGATGCTAATCTCTACTCTGAATTTTTGCTTCTACAAAATCTCTTCATAAGTAGTGAGTAAATAATGAAAGCCTGATTTGCTTTCCTCTCTGTGTCTTAATTGATTCCATTTCCCAATAGAGAAACCTTGAACCTATATTTAATTCAGGACTGCCAAGATTCTTTCTTCATCGATCCTCAGCAGCTGATACAGGAGTAGCCTACTAACCTTTCTGAGATTAGTAAATGGACTCCAAAGTTTGAAATTCAGATGTGAAGAAATCATGGATAGGTCTTGAGAATCCTGCGAGTGTCTTAAAAGATCTAATTTGTGTTAAAGCTCTAAGTGTAGAGTAAAATATTTCTTTTTACTCTAGAGCCTATATAGACATAAGAACTATGCTCCCTATCTGGGAGCTCTTGATTTGTACTGGAAAATTACGGTAAAGCACTGAAGTTGTTTTATTTGCTTAAGACAATTGAGCCTTGGTGATTTCCTGTTACAGACATAGAAGAGCTGGTTTGCAATTTGTCAGGTTTCTAAGCAAACATAACAAGGAAAGCTGTGGAGTTTTAAGTTGATAATGTCAGTGATTATGATCTTTATTTAAAATGTACCAATCAGGATTTTCCCCAGATTACTGTATATCTGCAAAGAACAAATGAAGAAAATTAAAAACTAGTACTAGCATAGCAGTTTCTTCAGAAAGGGTTTTTGCTGTTTGAAAAGGCACGTGCAAAAGAAGAGAAAAAAGTGTTTTTTTTTCTTTTTTTTTTTCTTTTTTTAATCTTTATTTTCCTAGATTGATATCCAGGTATGCAGCATGATCTCTCGTAGAGGAAAAAAAAAAGTGGAAGATATACAGTAATATAGAGAATTGAGACTGTTAGATACTGTTTATTATTTCACTTTTTAATGCTAAAAGAGAACCAAGTAGGAAATTTTTCTTAATTGATATCAGAGACTTCAAAATTTTCTTCAAGTTAGCAGAAGCACTTTGGTGTAAACACTGCTGGTGATGGCTCACACGCTATTAGCAGCTGAGTGTGAATATTTTAATGGTAATGTGGGCATAAAAGCCAAACTTGTCAAGAGGAAGGGAGCAGGGTAGGCTCTAATACGTTGCAATCTGAGGAAACATTATGAGCAAGCCCTCATGAGCAAGCAATTAGCTGGAATGTTCCTTACTGCTTACTCATAATCTTGCCTCAAATGAAGATACATTAACATAATTATCATGACCCTAATGATGGTAAGACTCATGGATCTGTGGACTGATAGATAAAACAGCACAGATTGTTCTCATTCTGAACACAGGGCAAATGCAAAATGGAAAATGATCTGGGTTTGCCTCTGAACAGAATTACTCTAGGCATCTTTTTCCTCTTTTTGCAAAAAAGATGTGCTTTTAAAGATTCTATCCATTTTCTTGTCTTTTGTCTCCATAAGACATTAGGGAATGTGCATGAGAACATGGCAGGGAATGGTATACTCCTTGAATAGCTCCTTTGAAAATCTCTGTGCTGTTTCATGATCTTTTATAGGCCAGGTAAAAAGCTGTTGAAGAAGTGTAAGAATGTTGAAGAAATGTGTCGTGATTATGGTGGTGCATATGAAGGTGCATCCAAGAAAATAAAGTAGCAGAACACTATTTGCATTAGACATATTTCAGCGAACGTCCTTCATTCAAGTCTATCACGGGCCTGTCAGTAATTGTCAAATTAGTTTTCTATTAGAAGCGAGAGTTCAAATTTCATCTTTCCAGTGCTGTCTGGGAGCGTGCACAAATGTTTAACTCAAGGCTGTACATGGCCATGAGCTCTGTAGTACAAACAGAAGCCAGTAGTTCTAACAGGCAGAACTGAACTGAGGTAAACAGAAAATTAGTTCTATTTTACCAGCGAAAACTGCAGAAACTAAAACTCTGTATTTTATTTTCGTTTCCAATGTAGAAAACTGTTGAAATAGTTGAGACCAACTTGTCCCTGTGCTTTGTACAAGAGTGGAAAAATCCATGTTCAAATTTCCCACTCTGGATAATAAATCTCTTAGTGGTTAACCCCAAAACTCTGAGCCCCAAGACGCCTCCCAAAGACATGCCATTTTTTTTCAGAGTGGTACTTCTAAAGAGAAATCAGAATTTGTTTTCTGGGTGACAAAATTGAGAGAAAAAAATGCAGGAGACTATAAAATGGAGTTATATTAAAAAAAAAAAAAAAGTAGTGTTCCTTTCCAAATAATGGGTTTATAGACTTTTTCTTTGTTGACAAATAAAAGTGCAGAGTAATCCAGCAAAGGACTCAGTACGAGCTGAAGTTCTCTGAAAGGCAAATGGCCGCCTAATCTCTCATGTTGCCCTGATTTCTTCCGTGGGGTCTGTTGGCTGCAAACAGCCTTCAGCACCTCGCTGGTGTCGCTCCCTGCTGCTCTCTGTGCTGTCGAGACGCAGGAGGGGCCGAAGCAGCACGCCAGGTCTGCTCGGCACTGGTACCTGCCTCTGCAAGCCGAGCAGCTGCTGCATTCCCCTTGCCTTGAAAGCCCTCTGCGCCTCAAACTTGTGCTCGATGCTCGTGGGCATTCAATTTGGAAACAAAACCGCAAAGATTTGAGAGGAAAATTATGTATTGGAGAAAGGCTGGGGAACTCAGTAGTGCTAGGGAACTCGTATGTACAGAGGGTCAAAAATTCATCTTGTTAGGGAACAGGCAGGGAAAAGCTTTTCTCAAGATGGCCCCCTACAACAGGCTAACACCATGTTCCTTTCTTAGTTTATTCATTAACAATTAGGAATAGTGAAGTACTAAAATACACGATGGTGCAAAGATATTTAGGATATTTTTCAGGACCTTGGGGGATTATGAAGAACTCCAAAAGCTCTATATGTATCAGCAGTATGAAATCCATTGCAAATAAATATGAAGCTAAAGAGGTAGAAAGTAGGTAAAATTAAATGATCGAGAGGTTCAGAAATAATAAGCAGATACAGGCATCTGCCTCAAAACTTCAGTGGAAATGCTGCTTTTTTCACCTCAACTATACACATAACAAATCAGTTGTCAGGCTACATGCATAGAGAACAGTACATAAATATGCTATTTTAGAAATCTCTGATGTAGCCTAAACTGAAACAGTGTTGGCAGGACAACTACTTATCTCAAGATAGATAATTAAGAATTACCAAGTGCCCAGAAACGGGAACTAAAATCAATGAAGGGCTCAGAAAATCATCTTATGCAGAAGTATTATAAAGGCATGAGATCTCCCAAACTACAACATAGGATAAAGGATATAAAAAGCATTACAAAATTGGATTTAGAAGAAATTTAGTTTTATGACAAACCTGAAGCTAAAAATGCAAATTTAATTAAATGAATTGCCCTTTCACCCCCATCTATGATTATATTATAGAACTTACTGATGGCTGGGGAGATGAGAGCAAGGCATGATGAGCGATTCTTTTACATATGGCTTTCTACATTTCTAATTCATTATATATATTTACTTATAAGACACATTTGCAAGTACAGTCTGCACATGTTAATTGTTCTGTATTATAGATGACAAAGAATGGTACAGTGGAATCTGAAGAAGCGAATACACTGACATTGGATGACATTTCTGATGATGATATTGATCTAGACAACACTGAAGTAGATGAGTACTTCTTCCTACAGCCCCTGCCAACCAAAAAGCGAAGGGCTTTGCTACGAGCTTCTGGGGTGAAGAAGATCGATGTGGAAGAGAAGCATGAGCTGCGGGCCATCCGCTTATCCAGAGAGGATTGTGGCTGTGACTGCCGTGTGTTCTGTGATCCAGAAACCTGCACTTGCAGTCTGGCAGGCATAAAATGTCAGGTAAATATCTGGATTGTTATCATTATTTAACTACCAATGTGTGTGTGCGCGCACATTTTCTTGATGTTAAAGTCGTAAGTAAAAATATATGGAAAATCATTAAAGAACATGACAATGCTTGTGGATCTTGAACTAGATTTTCAAGGCTGAGGTTTAAGAGGATATTGTGTGCAGTGCAAGTGATCTCCTTAAAGCCAATATTTATGCTACAAGTGGTTCAGACACACATTTACCTGCTCATACAAATATGCTGCTCCTCATGGTCTTCCCTGGCCTTCAGCTATACATTCAAATAGAGAAAACAGAAGAGGCAGTAGCTTGCAGATGCTACCAGGGATATTAGCTTTAAGTCTGCAGACAGTTCACATAGTGTTCAAACATGAATTACAGACCTTAAGCTATCTGATTGAAGTACCCAATTTGTAGAATCACTCACATTTTTAGATATTTGAGATGAGTATTATTAGGTATATAAGTTCTGCCTGCAGTCTGCTGGCTTACAACATTGCATCTGCAATTGACTGAAATATCTTTTAAGAGCCATTCAAGTTTCCATTACTGTCTTCTGTGGCCAGGTGTCCCCCCTATTGGAAACTTCATAAAGCTTTTTATACATGAGTCGTGTTTCATTAGGTTTCTGATTTCCACTACTTTCACCAAACTAGATAACTTTTTTCTCTGTTAGTGATTTTGCCAGGGTGTGAAGACATTTAGTGTACCAGTAGCAGATCCCTAAGTAGAAAACTGTGTATTCTTTGTTCCACTGTGTAATGCCCACAGCTATGAAACTGAAATATCTTTCCTGTTCCGCTGCACTGTAAATCCAGGCCTTACCAGTTCTTTCTGTAGTGCTGAAGTCCAGGTTAACTGCCTGAATTATTGTTACTTTTGGATTATTCTCACAAGTACTTTTCAGGTGAATCCTCCTTCACTGCTTTGTTTCTCTAGGCTGTCTAGGTTCTGTCATAACACCAGGTTTGATATGTTTACTAATCTGTGCTCTCTTTTTCTAAAAGGTGGATCGTATGTCTTTTCCATGTGGTTGCACTAAGGAAGGGTGTAGCAATACAGCAGGTAGAATTGAATTTAATCCTATCCGTGTACGGACTCACTTTTTGCACACAATAATGAAACTTGAACTGGAGAAAAACAGAGAGCAGCAAGTTCCTGCACTCAACGGCTGCCACAGCGACATAAGCGCACACACCAGTTCAATGAATGCAGGACCCCATCCAGCTGAATATTCAATTGCAGAGAATTTTGAGATCGAAGCGGAACCGCAGGCTGCAGTTCTGCATTCTCAGCCAGCCGAGGACTTGGACTGCCCAGGGGAAGATGAGGAAGAAGAAGATGGGAGTAGCTTTTGTAGTGGAGTTACAGATTCTAGCACACAGAGTTTAGCCCCTAGTGAATCAGATGACGATGAGGAGGAGGAGGAAGAGGACGAGGAGGAGGAAGAAAAAGTGGATGATTTTTTGGAAACTATGGGCTCCCATGCTGACATGGTGCCTCTTCCTTCTGTCCTTTGCTACTCTGATGGTACTGCTGTGCATGAAAACCCCTCGAAAAATGCCTCATACTACAGTAACTCTCCAAATCTGTATTACCAAATAGAGAGCCATGTTGCAGGCACTAGTAACCAGATTGGCGAGACGTACTCGGAAAGAGAAGCTGTCAAGAATGGTAGTCTCTCCCTGGTGCCTTACAACATGACTTCAGAACAGTTTGTTGACTACAGGCGGCAATCAGAGGAAACTTTTAGCAGCCCTCATTACCCTTCTGCAAACCCCTCAGTGATTGTTTGCTGCTCATCGGCGGAAGCAGATAACAGCGCTCCATGTAACACTTTATACGCTGAACACAGACCAGGCCACCCTCCAGTGGAATTTCACTCATACTTGAAAGGTCCCTCCCAAGACGGATTTGTTTCAGCTCTGAGTGGCGACAGTCATTTACCAGAGCACCCTGCTGAGACCTCCCTAAACCTTCCAGAAAAGAGCAGACTGCACGAAGAGTGCATCAAGTCACCAGTGGTAGAAACAGTACCTGTTTAATATTAAAATTATCCTAGGACTGGATTCCTTTACTAAATGCACTCAAGTTGGATTTCCTAGAATCTTACATTTTTTTTTTTTTAAGAGGTAGACAACACTTAGACTATGGTCTACATTGCAGACACTTGTGTTTTTGGAGATGCACTGGCAGTGGCATTGCACACAAACAGTTCATGTAAAGAAAGACTAAAACAAACAGGCTTTTGATTTTAGAGAAAGTGTAAGTAAAAAGCAAATTTCAAAGTAGCCTACCTATCCAAGTATGTGAAACCTGCCAAGCTGTGCGGATCAAAGCTTCACGTTTTCTGATTGTCGGGCCTGTGCAAGACTGCTTAAAAAAAAAAAAAAAAAAGGTACTTTGAAATAATCACATTTAGAGTCCTAATTTTCAACATATCTGGAAAGATGGTGAGTTTTAATGTAAAAGTAATTACTGTATAAAAAAACGGTTTTAATTGTTCTGTACTGTATGTATTTAATTTATGGTAGTTTAGTATTCATGTTTGGATAAAAATGAACAGCATGTTCATTTGAACAGAAGATCCATATTTAATAACAAAGAGCATGTCCACTTTTCATCTAAGTACCATGTACTGTTTTGGGGGGTTTTTTTTAACACCATGCCTTGTAAGTTATCTTGAAATGTATTTTTAGAGTGTACTATTTTCTCTTTTTACTGTTTTTGGACAAACTGAAGAGTCAGAAAGGGGGCATTCACATTTTCTAGAAAGGTGAAAGTAGACAATCTGCCATTAAAATTAGAATCAGTGGCATTTGCAAACTAACCTCTCCTTCCCCAAAGAAAAAATGATCTTGTATATAGTGGCAAAGCAGTGGTTTACGCTTCCACAGCACCTTTCAGCCCAACAAAACAGTCAGATATTTATGCACTTTAGTGCCATTTTGCAGTACTTCTTTATTAAATATGGGAACTGTGAATTATTTTTGAGAAATGCCGTAGCTCCAGACTCTGAGGTGTATGTGACACACCAGCATCATCAACTTTCTTGTAGCAAGTTAAGTTTTCCCTAACCTGTAAGTTTTCCCTAACCAACTTATGAGCATTTCAGCAATCAATTTATAAAGTCTTGCTGATCACAGTTTAAATGGAGAATGGAAAACAGTGTGAAAATATCTAACTTTTCCTAAATATCTACCAGTTTTTGTAAAATATGAGACTGCCTTTATTTTGGACTTCTAATCATATTCCAGATCTGCAGAGCCAATATTCAAAGAGAAATATGCAGAAATTTAGAAATTTTGTATATGTGACAGTTTGCAAGCAAATTATCAAGTGCATCGTATGGATATGTATTACCTTGTATTCCATTTATTTTAAAATGAAGAGGGAATTTGAGCACCCACTATGTCTCAACCTCTAACTAAACTGCTTTATTAACTAAAATTGCTTTCTTCTAGCGAAGGAGATAAAGGAGCTTGTTTTTCTATACACTGGTAATTCTGCACTACCTTATTTTAATTTCAAATCTATTTTGATATTTTTGTTCTTCTAATACTGAAATATTATTTATTATTCATCCAGTAGTTTGAAATGTATACATGTCTTATTTGTTGAATTAAGGATCCATCTTAACTGTTATCTTTGCAAATCTTGATGGTTAGCAGTATGCATGTAAACACAGTGTAAATTCTAGCTTGTAACAGTGACTCTTCTGGTTAGAAGCTCTTTATAACCAAATCATGTACAATACTCCAGCAGAAGAGATTGCCGGAGTTTTAAAATTCTTTTTTAAAAAATAAGGTGACATTATTTTTTTTTGTATGAAATCTGTGCACAGTGGTATTCAATTTTTACTTACATAATTTGACAAAATATTTTTACCCCAAGCACTAACTAGAAATGTGGGCATTTTTGTTTGTTTTGTTTTTGTTTCCACACTAAAACCTACATGTTCGATAAGAACGGCATTAAAAAGTCCAGGCTCTGTAGGGCCTGGATCCACGTTTGCAACGTATTTCATCTCTTGGGTAAAGTGTGGCTGTGTTAAGCCTCTGCTCAGCAGCTCCTTGAGCTCTGCTTTGGTCTCTTTTCTGTAAAGAAGAAGAGCCAGGTAAATGCCTGCCCCACCTCGATACCACTTTTAGAGAGAAGTACGTCAGGAATGTACCAGCGAATGCTCTGCGGGTAGGAATGAGAACAGTATTCCTCTGTTCAAGGCAGATACAGCAAGTCCCTCTAGGCATTTGGCATTAGTGGTAATGCTTAAAGCTGGAGGTCTCACTCAACACCAGCAGCAAATGCACAAAGCACAACACACTACTTGAGCTGGAAGAGGAGCTGTGCTGCAGGAGCAGCTTTTAACCTGAGTTTGTGTTGGCCACGGCAAGATGATCATGCTCACTTCACCAGGGTATTACACTTAGGGGAAAGTTAAATGAAATAAGTTTTATGATTCACCAGTCAGCCCCTTATTGAGCAATTAAAAAAAAATCTTCTTAGTCCCCATGCTTTCACAGGAAAAGTATCTTTAATGTACACAAATAAGTTTAAAAAGTACATGTCAGCTAGCTTTAAGATGGTGGCACTAACTTTAAAATCCTGAGATGGAGGTTATTTAATATTTCCACTGGGGGAGGCTTCAGACCCAGGGTTAAGGCAACATAAAGAGGTTTTGCTACGTATTTTCCCTTGCTTAAATAAGCTAGTTCCCAGGAACTGGAAAACAAAATAGGCCTAGTAAAGATTGAGAACATATTCTTCATTACTAGGCCATGGTGTAGATAGCAATACCCTCATTTTGTTCTTCTTCATTGGAGCTGATACTTTGTGCTCTAGATACGATTTCAGGATGCAAAGAAAACAAATCTTGTTTAATTCTTGGAACAACTTAAAAAGTAATATCTTTGTAATTGACAGATTTCCTCATAGTTAGACTAATAATATTAACAAGCCTTCGTGTACTGAGGAAAACAAGAACCTCATCATCTGTTAATATAGGCTAAATCCATTCCTCAAACAGCTCCATATCAGCAAAAGACTGTATACTAAGGCTTCTTATAGCATTTATAGGTAGACAAGAGTGAAAAAATATTATGATAGGCCTAACCAGAGGTGGGTTCCCAGCACTGTGGGCTGTGAAACTGAGTGCAAGCTATAGACACCATGTGAGAGTTGGGACTTCTACCCCTTGGTTAGACTTCCAGGTTTTGCTTCGAGGGAAGAAACACCACTGAAGGAAAGGCAGGCTTAATATAGCATGGGACAGAGAATTTTTCTAGTTTTGTTATCTGTGATTATATATAATAATATTATGTGTCCTATCTCCCAAGTTTTTAATCATTATTGTTGATGATAACCACTCTTTTCATAATGGATAGGCTTATTCTGTGTGCTGAGTTATGCTATTAAATGATAAATATACAGCCGGGTGTGCTTTTGTATATATCTGGCACATCATTTGTTGAAATGTTTACTGGAAACCTGTGTCAGCTTTACTTCCCAAGATGTTTAGCTACTAATAATAGCTTAATTTGTCAGATAATAAACTAGCAGATAATTTATGATTACCTTAGTTGAAAAAAAAATCAGTAATAAGAAAAGCATTTCTCTGTAAGAATAAAATAGAATTTCCACACTAAAGATCACTGAAGCAGCACATAAAGCTGGCTGCCTTTCCCCCCATAATGTGAACTTGACTCTCTTGGGAAACACATTGTTAATGATTATATAGCTTTATAGTTTTAACTATATTATTATTATATTATAACTAATGTTAGGGGTGAAACTGGAACTTTCCTGATTAAAAAAAGCAATTTTAGTGATTGCAAGAGTTTCCTGAGAGTGGTAATTCATGTCTAGAAGATCCATTAAAAAAATGAAAAGAAATACTTTTAGAGACCAGCAGTTAAAGAACATTTCTGATCAGCTATCTTTATGCCATTCAGATGAAAACGTTTTATTATTTTGCATTTACACAAGTTGCTGATCATGAATTAGACTTTGAGTTGACATCTGTCATGTCTTTGAAGGCCATCTGATTTTTCTTAGTAACCGTCTTCATGTGCTTTAAGTATGGTGCAGCCCTCACTAATCTGTTTACATGTTCTGAGTCAGCTAAAACCATTAGCCTGCATTTTGCACAAGTTCTACAGAAATTGCACTGAGTGTTTACGGTGGTGTTTCTCACTGCATTGATAACAGCGATACAGCCCGTTTCTCATCTTACCCTGCATGTTACGTTTCAGTAAATGCCCTGACAAACTGGTCATGTAGCACCCCAAATCAGTTGAGATTGTATCCTCACTAAACCCAGTTACTTTGATTATGATTGTATACATACATTTGTATACAAAACAGAATATGTTTCAATATTTCAGAAGTTTATGACATTTTTGTAATAGTGAACTGGGCTAGGAAAGAGGAGACCTGTGCTGATTTCAGCTTTGCCACTCGCATTCTCTATGCTCTGTTTGTAAGGTCCTTGGTTACATAAATACATAGATACAAAGTCTATAGTACCACCAGTAGATCACTCACATCATTTTTTTTGGTTATTGTTACTAAATTTCAGTGCTGTTTTCTGTCCAGCCCAAGAGTGCTGCTCAGAAGTGAACAGAAATTTTACCACAGCAAAGCAACACAGCAAAAGCAAGCTCTTCTTTCTGTGGCCTAACTTAATGAGCAAAAAATTAATAATAAAGTTCACCATAACAATGGGAAAATTAAAATAAGAGCTGTGCTGTGTATATAACATTTACCTATAGATTGCTTACCATCTGAGCAACAAGACTACACATATTTTGCCTAGCCCACCACACTGGGCAGGCACCAGCCCTGTTCCCTGGCCATCTGCCATGGCCAGCGCACTTTTTTTTTTTCCTAGAGGAGAAAATATAAGAAAATAATAATCTTAAAAAAGGAAGACATGTGTAGCGCAAAGATGGACATATGTTCACTACAAGCTAGGCCATGTTAGAACATGCCAATTTATGCATTTTTTAAAACATACTCATCAACTCAGTGCAAACAGGAAATACCATTTTTATATAATGTTTGGATGCAGCTAAACATTATTCAAGAACATTGGGGGGCAGG